AGTGAAAAGAACCTCTTCCACATCAAATTCTGGTCCTAAGTTGATATTGTGATTATGGACTTATTCAAGAGTAAGTTCCAATAAAATTAGTAGAGAAATACGGGTCATATACTTACATGATAAATTCTATGTGATTGTGTTGAATTGTTTCAATTTATTTTACTATCAATGTTATTATAATTAAGAGATGTTATTCATGTTAGTATAGGTGTTTCCCATATTTAAACATTTGGAACATAGGTAATATGTCTTGAGTTTATATTTTGATTGTGTACTATTTTGTAAAGGTAATACATTCCTGATTTTGTAAAGGTAATTTACATATTCCTGAGTTGATATTTGTTATACAAGTGCATTTAGTTATGTATTAATACTCTCAGGAGTATTTTTAATATTTACATATTATAGTCTTATTCTTTAATTAAATTCGTGCAATACCCATTAACACTCATGCGAATGCACGGGTAACCTACTAGTTCCTTATTGAAAAGTGATGTCTCATAAGTTTCTTATTTCTAATTTTGCTCATTATAAAAATAAAAATAAGACTTTTAATGTCTACATAATATTTTTAATGATAATTATGTTCATACCTTCCTTGAAATAGTTCACTTTAATTTATCTAACAAAAATAATGGTCCTAATACATTTAAATATTACCTGAATGACCAAAAAATTATAACAAACCTTCCCAAAGATCCAATTGATGAGGCCATTAACTTGATGAAGTGATGAAATGGAGAAAAATATACAAAAGGAGAAATGGGAGAAATATATGCAAATTGATATTTCATGTTATTATCCTTAGTTTTCTCCACAAAAATTCTCAATTATTTCTCCACTAGATTTTCAATTTTCAACCCATCACAAATTCCCTGCATATATAGGGGTGAAAGATTCCATTGAAACAAAATTTATTGCTATTGTCTTTGCATTAGAAACTTCTCTAGAAGCACAATGAGTTCGTTATAAAAACAAAGTGAAACCACGAAGACAAGTCATATATTCCTACGAATAGTCAATACCACAAAGGCAAGTCATACATTGCTACGAATAGCCAATACCACGAGGGCAAATCATACATTACTCAACTTCTTAAGGGAGTTAAAAATAAGTTTTCTTCCTATTACTTCACAATCCATATATAATCAGAAAATCCACGCATTCTCTCTCATCATATACCATTAAACGCTTCTCCTTACCTTGGTGAGTGTTGGGTTTGGTACTTGGTAACTTTGCAAGTTCCTCCGATACCGCCTCCAACCTTAGGATCTCTTCTCAAGCTTCTTAGTTGATTTCCACGAATCCTTGTTCTAAAAATTGCTTTCTTCTCTCTTCTCTCTCAAAGTTCTAACCCTAAAAGTGTTTGATGTTTCTATTTTAAAGTTTCATCGTCGGGCTCTCGCTTGACTCGCTCAAACGAGAAAATCCCGCCCATTTTAAAACTCAACACTGCGCTCTCGCCTGGACGAGCCATCTCTCGCTCAGGCGAGAATCTCACAGCCTCCAGAATGCCATTCTCGCCCAGGCGAGCCAACTCTCGCTCAGGCGAGACTCTTAGGTAAAATCCTATGAGTGACTCTGGTCCTCTCGCTTGGGCGAGGCCCTCTCGCTCAAGCGAGAATCTGGCAGTAAGTCTCAGTCCTTAGGACTGTTACCACCTTTTAAGAAAGATAAAATTAGGGTATTACATCATATCAACAACACTTGCATAAATAAGCGCCATTAAAGGTGTTATATCACTATTTTTGACATAACTTTTGAACCACTAATCAAAACTAGACATATCATATATGAATTTGGGGGTAGAAAAATTCATTTTATCCAAATTTTCTCACTACATTAGAAAGGTGCACCCTGAAATTCAAAAAAAAAATATTTTTTACTATTTCTTTTTTATTTTACAAGTTTTAAAATGAATGTGTTTTGATAATGTTAGAGTAGAAACAACGCATATTGTAGCAAACGATGTATAAGATAACAAATCAACAACAAATATTGAAGAATGCGCTGTAGAAAATATCTCATCAATAACGTAAACAAGAACATGCGTTGTTAAATATATTCTTATTAACAGCGCAACAAAAAGGAGCGATGTTAAAGAGCGCACATTCGCTGTTGCGTTGTTGATGTTATATCTGCCTATCATTATTAACAGAGATTTCTTAAAAATGCACTGTCTATTTTCCTCCGCCTCGAATTTAACAGCATTATTCAAGGATACGCTGTTGAAGAACCGCTTTTAAAGACATTTTCTGGCGTAGTGATTATGGATTGAAAAACCCCTTCACAACCACTATCATAACATCTCCTCTATCTCGACAACTGACCCACCCCACCAACATTGACCAATACGATGGCACCACTAATCTCCAAGACCAACTTGACGCTTTTGAAGCCTCCATGCTCTTCCATGGAGCCTCTGACCCGATCATATGTCGAGCATTCCAACTTACACTAAAGCGAGCGACTTTACAATGATTCATGTGGCTGGAGAGCAACATCATATATCATTGGGGAGCGCTAGCAAACATGTTTGACATCCGGTTCACAGCCTGTAAGGCTCAACCCCGATCATTATACACTATGGTGGGAAACAAGAAAGGCCCCAAAAATCCATCATGGCATACTTGGACTGCTTCAACGAGGAGGCGATGAAGGACATCACTTTGAACCTCGATGTGGTAGTACATCTCCTGATTATGGGCCTTCGGGCAAGCATTTTCAAGATGAACTTGGCCAAAGAAAATGCAAATTGAAGGCAGGACCGCAAAACCGCTCCGAGTGTTGCAACTTCCACAAGATGTTTCGACACCAAATTGATGACTGCACGCAATTATAAGATACCATCGAGGTCCTGATTCAAGAAGGCTACCTCCAGAAGTTTGAAGCAGGGCAAACCTTGATCAAACATTCACCTCCTCGTCACAAAACCCTACCAAGAAGACGCTCCCCACCAAGGAGATGCTCACCTCCCCAAAACACTAGAGACGTCCTCCATGTTGGGAGCGCTACAGTCATTATGGCCCCAACCATAGAAGACAACAAAGCTAGATCAACATCAATACCATCTCCGGAGGCTTTGTCGTGAATGGAAATTCAAGATAAGATAGAAGAGGTATCTTTCAGGGTTACTATAGGTGACACCGAAGTAAGACAGGGACCAACACACTAACTGGAAGGCGTGCCCATAGGTCTCCTTTGATGATCGAGACTACAAGAGCATCATTCGAGGACATGACGACCCACTGATTATCATCGCCAAGCTAAACAACAAGAAGGTCAGTCGACTATTCGTGGATCAAGTAGTTCTACAAACATCATATTCCAAGACCTATTTCTGAAGATAGTGTGCTCTAAGAACGAGACCTACTCCACTATGATGGTCAACTAGTCGGATTGACTAGAATTGGAATAACCCCTAGAGGTTATGTAGAAAGTTGGGTGATAGCTAGAGACAGGTCCCTCAACAAGACAATCGAAGCCAAGTTTTTAGTCATTAATTACAAATTAGCCAACAACACCAACATTTCCTCGACTTTCATATGTTTTACTGCTTTCCTATAACAAGCCAACCTTCTTAAAAGGTCGGGCCAGAACCATTCTAAAGCATTTAACATTATATTATAATGGGGTATTTCACATTTTCAGTTGTGTACTATCCAACAGGTCTTAATCAATAAAATCCCCCAAGGTGTGGACCATGTTCCGCTTGGTCGGCGATTTCAACCTGCTTTGCGCATGAGTCGTGCTCCCCTCAAGCTATATTAGAAGATTATAGCATTTTCATACCATTTAAATCGACATTTTCAAGACCAAAGAACAAAGTGAAAGATATAATAATTGGTTGGATACTTAGTTGCTCAAAGTTGAAGTGAAATAATTAAATGTATAAGGTCTCAACTTTTAGAAATCCATAGCAATCAGTTGCATGCAAATGTGAATATAACTTAAAAATTGGATTGAAGATCAACTCAAAATAGAAGCTATGCGTGGTGTCTATTCCAAACTCATAAAAGCAAAATGGTAAAGTAATAGTGGTGATAATGATTTATGTATTGTTGATAAAAGTTTGAGGGTGTGTGTGGTTTGAATTGAATCCTCTCCTGAACCGGAAGGTAACTATTTAGGGGAATGAAAAACTTACAAGATTTTAAATTATTTAATTAAAAAAAGTAAATATTTGGATCCTTAAAATATTGTGGTATCACATATCAGTATCTTTACCCACTATTTAAGTATCCAAAATTAGAAACATGATTCCTTAATATCAGCATTGTGTCCCTATTGTATTATGTATAGTCAAAATCATTTATGTTCTAATTATAGGCTAGAATATTATGTTCCCATATTTAGTGAATAGCCATTAATACTAGCTTAATTGTAGGATCATACTCTCCCCTCTCTTCTGTATATATATGTATGTTTCTGATCAATAATCATAACACAAGTTTATACATATTATAATTTTCTGTCTTGGTATCATAGCACCATTGCCAAAAAGGCTCGTGATCCAATCAAAAACCATGGCATCTGCTGCAAATACAAACAACAAAAATGATCTTCCATCATCTATCTCTGTCAAGTTGGATAGAGACAATTTTCCCTTGTGGCAGTCCTTAGTCTTGCCCATCATCAGAGGCTGCAGACTTGAAGGTTATATGCTAGGGACAAAGGAGTGCCCTGAGCAATATATCACAAATTCAAATTCAAGCAAGAAGTTGAATCCTTCGTTTGAAGATTGGCAAGCTTATAACCAACAACTTCTAGGTTGGTTAAAGAATTCCATGACTGCATACATTGCAACACAATTTTTGCACTGTGAAAACTCAAAGCAACTTTGGGAGGAGGCCCAAAGTCCAGCTGGAGCACATACATGGTCTAGAATCATCTACCTGAAGTCATAATTCCACAATACCAAGAAAGGTGAAATGAAAATGCATGATTATTTGTTCAAGATGAAAAATCTTGCTGATAAACTCAAGCTGGCAGGAAATCCAATTCTCAACTGAAATCTAATCATTCAAACCCTGAATGGATTTGATTCTGAGTACAATCCTGTCGTGGTAAAACTCTCTGATCAAATCAATCTAAGTTGGATTGATTTACAATCCCAATTTCTGAGTTTTGAGAGTAGAATTGAGCAGCTCAATTCCTTTAACAGCCTAAGTCTCAATGCCTCAACAAATGTTGCAAACAAGACTGATTACAAAGGAAACTGGAGAAACAACAGACTTGGCTACTATGGCTCAAATGGAAACTGGAGAGGCTCCATCTCGAGAGGTTGGAGAGGAGGCAGAGGTAGAGGCAGGTTCTCTAAACCTACCTGTCAAGTATGCTCAAGGACTGGTCACACAGCAATGCAGTGCTTCTATAGATTTGACAAAAACTACTCAGGATCAAATTACTCAACAGAAGAGGAAGAAAAATCTGCATTCCTAGCATCACAAGGAACCAATCAAGAGTATGACTGGTACTTTGACAGTGGAGCAAGCAATCACGTGACACATCAAACTGAAAAATTCCAAGAAATAAATGAACATCATGGTAAGAACTCTCTGATTATTGGAAATGGTGAGCAACTAGAAATTATAGCCATAGGCTCTTCCAAACTCAAGTCACTTAATCTACATGATATACTATATGTGCCTAACATTACCAAAAATCTATTAAGTGTATCTAAGTTGGCTGCCGACAATAACATTCTTGTTGAGTTTGATAAGAATTGTTGTTTTGTGAAGGACAAGTTGACAGGGAAGGCAGTACTAAAAGGAATACTTAAAGATGGATTATACCAGCTCTCAGGAATTGAAAGGAGCCCAAGTGCTTATATATCTGTCAGGGAGAGCTGGCATAGGAGACTTGGTCACTCAAACAACAACACATTAGACAAAGTCTTGAAAAATTGTAATGTTAAAGTACCACCTAGTGATCACTTTAGTTTTTGTGAGGTCTGCCAATATGGCAAAATGCATCTCTTACCCTTTAAGGCTTATTCATTTCATGCTAAGGAACCACTTGAGTTGGTTCACACTGATGTATGGGGTCCTGCACCAATAATGTCATCTTCTGGTTTCAAATATTATGTGCATTTTGTTGATGATTTTAGTAGGTTCACTTGGATTTATCCTTTAAAACAAAAGTCTGAAACTGTGCAAGCTTTCATTCAATTTAAAGCCTTGGCTGAAAATCAATACATTAAGAGAATCAAAGTAATTCAGTGTGATGGTGGTGGTGAATACAAACATGTGCAGAGACTTGCAATTGAAGCTGGCATAGGTTTTAGAATGTCTTGTCCTTATACTTCTCAGCAAAATGGAAGAGCTGAGAGGAAACACAGGCACATAGTTGAGCTTGGTTTAAATCTGCTTGCACAAGCTAAAATGCCATTCCAATATTGGTGGGAAGCATTCTCCACTGCAGTATACCTTATACACAGACTGCCATCTCAAGTTACCCAAAATGAGAACCCCTACTCACTAATGCTTCATAAGGAACCTGACTATAAGCTCTTAAAACCTTTTGGATGTGCTTGTAATCCATGCCTCAAACCCTACAATCAACACAAGCTGCAATTTCATACAACCAAATGTGTGTTCTTAGGCTATAGTAACTCTCACAAAGGGTATAAATGTCTCAATTCCCATGGCAGGATCTTCATATCAAGACATGTTGTCTTCAATGAAGATCACTTCCCATTCCATGATGGGTTTCTCAATACAAGAGGTCCTCTAAAAACAACTAACATTTCATCATTCTCCTTTCCCCTGTGCCCTGCAGGTTATCCTATCATTGATGCAATCCCTGAAGGAGATATCTCAGATAAAGTGAACTTAGATGACTCACAAGTTGACAACAATGACACAGAGGTTGACAACAATATCATAGAACAATCTGAAGATACTATACTAGATGATGCAACTCATCCGGAGATACAACCTGACATAACTCAGCAAAGTACAGATGAAGCAAGCAATGCAGGTATCATACAAACCAGAAGCAAGTCCGACATTCACAAGCCAAACCTTCCTTACATTGGTCTAGCTGAGACCTACAAAGATACAGTGGAACCTACAAATGCCAAGGATGCTCTCACAAGGCCCTTATGGAAGGAAGCAATGCAAAAGGAGTTTCAAGCACTCATGTCTAACAAAACTTGGACATTAGTCCCTTATCAAGATGAAGAAAACATAGTTGACTCAAAATGGGTTTTTAAGACCAAATACAAGTCAGATGGCACCATAGAAAGGAGAAAAGCTAGGCTTGTTGCCAAAGGATTTCAACAAATCGCTGGCTTTGATTATGAAGAAATCTTCAGCCCTGTAGTTAAAGCTAGCACTGTCAGAATCATTCTTTCAATTGCAATCCATCTCAACTAGGAAGTCAGGCACCTAGACATTAACAATGCTTTCCTAAATGGATATCTCAAGGAAAAAGTGTTCATGCATCAACCTGAAGGATTTGTTGATCCAACCAGGCCTAATCACATATGCAGGCTATCAAAAGCAATCTATGGACTGAAGCAAGCACCAAGAGCTTGGTTTGATAGTCTCAAGGCTGCATTATTGAAGTGGGGTTTTTCAAAACACAAAGAGTGATTCATCTCTTTTCCTTCAAAAAGGTAAAGATCACATTATTTTTCTGCTTATCTATGTGGATGACATAATAATTACAGGAAGCAACACCAAGTTCCTTCAAGTATTCATCACTCAGCTAAATGATGTATTCTCTCTCAAAGACTTGGGTCAGCTACACTACTTTATGGGCATAGAAGTGAAAAGAGATACCAGTGGAATGTATCTCAAACAATCTAAGTACATCCGTGACTTACTGAGTAAATTCAAGATGGACAAAGCCTCACCATGTCCCACACCTATGATAACAGGTAGGCAGTTCATAGTTGAGGGAGAGAAACTAGCAAACCCAACTGTGTTTAGACAAGCCATAGGTGCCTTACAATACTTGACTCACACAAGACCTGACCTAACATTCTCTATTAATAAACTCAGCCAATACATGAGCTCACCAACACTTGAACACTGGCAAGGCATAAAAAGAATCTTTAGGTATCTCCAAGGGACCATAAATCATTGCTTACACATCAAGTCATCCACTGATCTGGACATTCATGGCTTCTCTTATGTAGACTGGGCCACTAGTGTTGATGACAGCAAATCCATGGCTGGTCAATGTGTGTTCCTTGGTGAAACACTTGTTTCGTGGTCATCAAGGAAGCAAAATGTGGTATCAAGATCAAGCACTGAGTCTGAATACAGAGCCCTAGCTGACCTAGCTGCTGAAATAACATGGATTCAATCATTACTTGCTGAACTTAAACTCCAACTTCCAAGGAAACCCATACTGTGGTGTGATAACTTGAGTGCCAAGGCACTAGCCTCAAATCCTGTCCTCCATGCTCGCTCCAAACACATTGAAACTGATGTTCACTATATTAGAGATCAAGTACTACAAAATGAAATTGTTGTGGCCTATGTTCCTACAACTGATCAAATTGCAGACTGCCTCACCAAGCCATTAAGCCACACACGGTTCAGCCAAATCAGAGACAAACTTGGTGTTATCCACCCACCACCAGTTTGAAGGGGGAATTAGAAACATGATTCCTTAATATCAGCATCGTGTCCCTATTGTATTATGTATAGTCAAAAGCATTTATGTTCTAATTATAGGCTAGAATATTATGTTCCCATATTCAGTGTATAGCCATTAATACTAGCTTAATTGTAGGATCATGCTCTCCCCTCTCTTCTGTATATATATGTATGTTTCTGATCAATAATCATAACACAAGTTTATACATATTATAATTTTCTGTCCAATACTATAGAATATAAGCACTTATCTAGCTTAGAGTTTGCTTGTCATTTTCCTCTTGAAAAGAAACATATGGCAATAGATGTGGTCAAACTAAAAGGGGCCAATTTATTTGTGTTCACATGGGCCTTTTAGTGTCTTTTAATCCTTTTGAGTTGTACTCTTAAATTAGAGTGTCTATGTCACTCTTATATGTCATTTCTATGTGCCACAAATTATAAACTCACATTTATATTTTGTTAACTTTTGGTTAGTTATTATAATGCAACTATAATTGACATGTCAATTTGTAGAAAAGTGGCATAGACAACTTGTGCCTCCTTAAATTACATATTTCGCTCTTGTATTGGCTATTTGGCTGAGTGGTACTATTTTTCTTTTGTTTTGAGCACAAGATTGTGTAAACATTCTTCAACCCTTCCTAGAAGGTGTGGAGTGTAAGTACTGTAAGTCTATATCGCTTAAGTTGAGATTATTGTGAACAAAATAATTCTTATTTATAAAAATATATATTGTAGAATCATTCTTGGGTATGATTGTATAAGCAAATGAAATCTCAAGTTAAGTCTATATTAATTTTAGCAGGAGTTTTGTTACATTTTTCATTTTTATAAGAGGGGTTTAACTAGGGATGAAAATGAAAACCAAATTTGTCGGTATCCATCTGAACTCAACCCGAATTTAATGAGTTCAACTCGCTCTTATTGTGTTCAAGTTCAGGTTCGAATTTTACCTTCTAAATTCGGATTTAGTACATACTATACTCTACCCCGAACCTTTCTTAAACACATCCCAAATAAGATACGGGAATTTAATAAATGAATATACATAAATTATTTAGTTGTACTACTGTTTTTTTTTTTTGCTTAATGGTTGTATACTTGTAATTTACTGCAACTATTGAACTATTATTTTACTGCAGTAGCTATTCAAGTGCATCAACTATTGAACTGCAGCAACTCTTGAATTGTTTTTGTTATTGTTTTTCAGTGCAACAATTATTTAATAATTTTTTTGGGTTCTCCATCGATTGGTTTGGGATGGTATTATTAATTTTAACCTTGCCGTGTTTGGATTTGGATTTGGATTTAAGTTTTAAATTTTAGATTCGAGATTGGATAAACATAATCTCGACCCAATCTGTCCCTACTCGATTGTCATTCCTAGATTTAATATTACTTTGCCAATACAAATTGATTTATAAAGTGTATTGGGGATCCACATGTCCGGAAGGTATGCCAGTGTAGACCATGAGATTGTATTATATTTTCTTAGACTTAATATTTATACATAGATAG